GATAGCAAATATATATTTTAAAGTTAGATCCGAATATAGAATACAAATCAATATTAGTTATTGCTCATATCAATATTGATTATAACACGTCCTTGAATTTAAAAATAACTTTTAGTTAAATATACAATGCCAAAAACAGTGTTTAAAGTTTAATAATATTATGTTATTTTTTATTTTATTTTTATTTTAATACGGGCCGCAGCCCAAAAGTACAGAAAAATAAATTTACATATTATAAGTGAATTCAATGTGTAGTAGACATAATAATTATTAATTAATATAGAGAAAGGAAAGAATACAAAAGAAAAGAATTACAGAACTTAACTTAAAAACTAAAAGATCCTCATTAGCAATACGCATCATCCTATTTAGTGGTTTGTTATAAATGTTACCTATATTTTATAGAAAAAATAAAAACTTGTAAACCATATTAAGTAGGTATTATGAACTTTAAATATTAAATCAATACGACTATACTCAATCATATAAATTAAATATGATAAAACAATTAAATTAAATTAAAATAATCATCACGATGTAACTTCGAGTAGGTATTTTAAAATTTTTGTCTCGATAATATTTAAATATGATGTTTACACTATAACCCATAATATACCCCGATAAAAAAAATACTATGTATAAATACATATATTACAATTTAATTGTTAGCATTTATATATTATTTATTCAATACGAGATTACATATACGATATACCTGCTATACCAAATTCTAAAAAAAGACATTCATTAAAAATATGTGATTTCAGATAATTATTAAAAAGTCGATTTTAACAACTGTGTATCAATTAAACATGTTTTAAAGCAATTAATTATATTATAATATACGTATCTATACATTTTAAATAATAAAATCGTTTATGGTGAAATTAATTATTTTTTTACAATAATCTGATTAAGATATTTTACGTTATCAAAAGGAAAAGAGAATATTTTCATTAAAAACGAGATTAAATAATGTTACATTAGGTACATAATATTATACTGAAATACACATATTACGCTGTAAATTTTAATTTGTATAATATTGTTGTAAACAATTTTATTTACGCATTCCTAATATCAAATATTACACTTCAATAGCAATACAACAATTCAAAGTTATAATAAAAAACTGATAAAACCTTTTACGTTGGAAAAAAAAATAAAAAAAATATATATTTAATTATATTGCAAACTGATGATCAAACAATGATTTATGCACACAAAAAACTGTTGTATTTCAACTTTCGGAGTTCAGTCGGCTTGAGAGAATGGCAAAGAGTTCAAAACCATTGGGTATTACATTCCATTACAGTTTTTTTTTCTACCCCAAAACCACTAAGATATACTTGTTCCCTTGTTCCCTTAAAAATCCATAAGTGGAAGGTGATATGAAAAAAATTAATAATTAATATTTTTGACCACTCTTTGTCTAAGTGAATATTTTTACCTTATTTTCAACAACATGCATAATAAAATCCAATTCTCTGAATAATGTCTATTTTTTAAATTGGTGACTTTACTAGCATTTACGATTTCTTGACTATTGTTTTTGTGAACTATTTAAGTTGTATGTTCAACTAAATCTTTAATGATTTATTTGTTAAGGTTCTTTGATTTAGCTTGTAGTTCACTCATGTACAATTTAATGGGTAAATTTTTAATTTAAACCTTTGAAAATAAAAAAAAAAAAGTATTTTAAATAAATAAATGGGAATTTAGTTTAAATTAATTTTACCTTTTGTTGGATTTCTTAACATTTTTCGATTTTTTTTATCATCCCTTTAATTATTTTGTGTCTTGTAGGAGTGAGAGTTGTACAACATATGTTTTAGTTCTTATAGATAATCTTTTTTATACTCTCTCAATAAGGGGAACAATGAATTGCACCTTTTACATCTTTTTTTTGAACTTGTTAGAATAGAACATTCATTATGGCGCCAGGTTGTATTCTCTAAATAAGTATTCTTAACCCGAATTCCTAAATAAAAATTGGTTTAGGTAGGTACCTATACAGCTGTTTTATTTAACATTTAAAACTCATACATGAAAAATGTAGACACTGAGACCTCCTTGGCATATTTTCTTTTGTTCAAACAATTGAAGGGTTTCAGTAATTTGCAATGTATCAAGTGGGTATGTTAATTGTTGTAGACCCAAATTTTTAGGATTTCGACGCTTTTGATTAACATAATAGCAAATAGCTCACTTTTAAACTATTTGATTCAAAAACAATTTGTTTTTCAATAACAATTTTAGCTTCATTAAATTCTATGAATTTAATCAGCTTATACAATGCAACAATACATCCATCATGATATAATGACCAACCAATGGGCATGGTACCACAGTTTGATTCCTTTAATAAATCATATGAACTATGAAGTTAGGTAGGTATATATAAATTAAATAATCTACATGGTCTATTATGACAATTAATCACAAACATACTATTAATGTTAGTGTTTGACATAATCTCTTAGGCTTGGGTTTCACCAAACAATTCTTTCCTAAATGACTCAGTACAGGTGTAGAGATTCTTGAGGTTCTGCAGGCAAATCATTTGTTTTGTGAATATCAAATGGTGAATTAAATACTGATGGAAAAGCACCATTTTTAGCCCAATTAAATTCCTTTTAAACTGTGTATAGAATTATTGAGTTATAATTTATAATTTATAATGACCAAGTAGGTACTTATATAGTAGGTACCTACCTAAATGGCTAAATACAAATAATTATGTTTTCTTACTTCCAAGTCATTACACCCACTATAACTGTTCATCAAATCTTCTTTCCTAAAATTGTCTATACAGACGTATGGCACTTTAGTTTATGATTACCATTTACTTCATTATAATTTCCGCCACGATTCTCGAACTTTAAACAACTGAACATTGGACCGTTCCTTAGTGGTACATAAAAATACTGAACACTGGCGAGGCATTTTAATTTTATAATTTCAACACAAATGTAGAAAATAGTCGTAACTATTTAAATAAATCAAGCAGTAGATCTAGACGCTCTAGTATAGTAAGTAATTTCTAAAGTCTAAATACTCTACTATTTACTAATGGAATGAATATAAAATATGCAATGAGACCAATGTAATTTTTTTTTCTGTGCCAATGTATTTATAGAGAAGTAATGGTAGATGAGCTATAAGCCTACTAGATAGCGCTAGGTGTCCCACATGTACCTATTGAAAACATTTGGTATATAGCCCATAGACCTATTAACTTAAGTCTTTGTAACTCAATTAGTTTTTAAGTGGTATCAAACTTGATAATTCATGATCATAGCACGGCAGGGGTCCCATAAACTTTCCCAATTTTTTTTTTTTTAAGATTTTAAATTATTTAAACTATTGATCAGTGGCGTAAATATAGTGTTTAAAATTTGAGAGGGGGGCTGTAGTAACTCAGGTCTATACTTGATACTCATAGAATGCTTTTAAATGATAGTGTGAATAGTAGTTGTTTTTTTGTTTGGGAGGGGGCTGTAGAAATTATAAGGGGGCCAAACCCCCCCCCCAGCCGACCTCCTATTTGCGCCTCTGTTGTTGATACATAATATTCAGTGACACTATCGAGATTTAAACATAGAATAATTATAGTTATGTGTAACTATCCTGGATACAAATTAATTATTATTAAATTGTTTTAACTATTGTGGTGTTGTAGGAGAAGAATGGAGAATGTTTGTATGTGACATTATGACATGTGACACATTACCACTGACAAATGACAATGAACCAGAGATCACTATTGCATTATTATAAATTAACTACTAAGCAAAAATAATATTATTTATTATATTATGTCAGTTGTTCAGATCACATAACAAATTAATTAATTTAATGGTTCATAAGCCATCATGTCAAGATTCAGAGACCATTAGCTTACCATTGTTTGATTAAATGTTTAGAAATTGTTTATGGAACCCAGGTTTCAATATGCTAATGCCGGGTTCCCATTACTCTTTGAAAACAAATTGTTTGGATAAGCATATTGAAGCAATATTATCTGGAGTCTGGATACATACATACTGTATAATAAATAGATTTAATTCGGATGGAATTAGTTCAACATTTTAGTGTTCATTATTTGAAAAAAACCATACAAAATGTTATACTTGTTTAAAAACATTTTCGATTAAACTATTTATATTGAATTATTGAAACCAAATTTAACTATACTCTGGCCCGTGAGAGAACATTACCATGCCCCGACTAAAATGCTTCCGATTTTACGCATCCCCCAATCAACGACAAAAGTGCATTATTGTTCGGTACGTTCGGTAACACTCAATAGTTTAATTTATATATATATACGACCCATACCATCGCGGCACAAGTCACTGCCGTCAGTCTACATGCGCGAAACGGTAATGTTCTTTTGTGGGCCGGAGTATAGACTAACATTCATTGCTCTTTAAAATAAATCACAAATTATTAAAATATATAAATTCCCTTTATTTTCAATACAAGAATAAGTAGTATAGTTACTATATTATATTATATTTAAGAACATTTAGGTATTTATAAACAAAAAAAAAATCACTAATAGCAAAAAAATATTATTAGTGACATTTATAAGCAAATATAAAATAATATCTTTGGTTCGATTGATAACATTTTAAAATGTATTAAATCAAGATAGTATTATAAAATAACATTTTATTTTATAAATTAACAAAAAAATAGCACAGAAATAAATAAATATAGTGCATCATTTTATTATTTTGTTCATTTAGAATGTTTAGATAATAAGAAGAACAATTTCAAGAAATCAAGTTCCATCAATAAGAACTTTATGAGCAAATTGACTAGGATTTGCCAATAAGTTATTGACTAGTAAAGATGTTCTGTGTATAAATAGAACATGGAAATGGCACGAAACTAATTATTCTAGTTTGTGTAATCATAAATAATATACAATATAAGAGTCAACACTATAATCACACAGTAAAGTATTTTAAGAACTTTGTTTTAATTCAAGTTTATACATGTTGTGTTTTGTTTATTGGCTGATCAGTCTTTGTAGCATTACTCTCTTTGTTAGGGTAAATTTTGTTTACGGTAGCTTGATCAATATTCTGAGTCACTCCAAATGGTCTTAAATGATAAATTAGATATTCGAGAACATACATATTATTAGGATTCACATAATGGAATGAAACTGCGGTATCAGAACAACAATCCATGCCCTAAAAATAATAAAAACAATTTATATAACTGACTAGAGTTTAGAAGGTACACTATTAATGATTTTGTTTTTACCTCTACTATTGGATAGTAAATATATTTCCAGTACCAAAAACTTGGATCTGTATGCCCAGGTATAAGATGGTGTTCTGGAATAAATGGAAAAAAACGTCCACGGCCTAAACTATCTCGAGAATCCTCAGCTTTCACTCCAACTAATTGAAGACAAATACCTAAAAGATAAACATAATTTGATTAATATTTTAAAATTTAAACACACTTGTGCAACAGATATTATACAATATATGACAATTTTTATAAAATATATATTTTATTTACTAACTATTAATTATGCATTAAGTACATTTCTTGCTATAGTTTAAGTTATGTCAGAATATTTATTTTTACTTAAACTTCCATGTTTTCAAATTATCACTGCTGATGAGATTATAAAAATAAAATAGTATAATTATAATGGCCTTGGTATAAATTCTAGTATAAAATGTTTTAAAATAGATCTAATAAATATCTAGTTATTTACCACTATTTCTCATTCTCTAAAATTTTGAAAATTTGAAATAATTTATGTCAATAGACCTAAAATACCATACTCTAGGAAAAAAGATTCACTAAACATGAACTACATAATAATAATAATAATAATAACATTCAAACATTTTTATTTTTTAATTTTTTTAATAAAAAATGGTATTTTCCTGTTATAAGAGACTACTTAATTTAGTGCAATGTCACAATCCAATTGTAGACATTGTTAAGATTGTGGTAGACGCAATAATAACCGTAGTTTTGTATAACAGGAAAGAATCTAAAAAACAAACTTACCAATTTCTACATCTTCGGCTCCACCATTATCTTGCCGACATTGTTTATGAGGTATAGCTTTTTCAACAAACCTCTTAACCGATTCTTTGCTTAACAAATAACCTAAATAGATTTATATAATTGAAATTATACAGTTATTATAAATGATTTTGATTTTAAAAAATCTCAATAAATATAAGTACATAAACATTAAATAAATTTTTTAATTTGCTACAATTACAATACTTATAATTAATATTTTATATAGAGTCTGCTATTAATCTACAAAATATACATTGTGTTAATTAATTACCTGCACCGCCACTCATGTATCCCTGTTTAACATAGGGTTTAAACCTACAACCTAAGAAGATTGGATCTTTTGGGTTAAATGAAGTTAACATATACCTCAAGTTCTCTACTACAACATACCTGAAATTAAAAAGTTTTTTATTTGACATTAATTTTAACTATAGTCATTATATACTCCAGCCCATGAGAGATCAGTACTGCTATTCGACCAAAACTAGTCCGATTTTGCGCATCTCCCACTCAACCAACCACAGCGTTTCGGCGACTGTCGGTGTCGGTCGGCAATTGTGACGATTGCGGCATTCCGGCACATAGTGGGGAAAATTGGGCTCCGCACCGTCGCTGCCGGTCATTCTGCATGCGCGTGACGGTACTAATCTCTCGTGGGCCGGAGTATAGTATTAGTAATGTGCTACTAAAAAACTAAAATATCACTAAACAATCAATAAAATGATTGATCTTCTGTTAGATTAGGTTAGCTACCTACAAAAAATAGCACTGATACATGAGTTGGAAGGGGAGTGTTAAATGTAATATTCAAAAGTAGTACTAAATCTTAAATAATTTGTACATAAATTTGTTAAGAGAACCCTACACCCGCATGTGTTGTCTTACAAATGTACATCATAGCAAAAAATACATTGCGCTAGACAACTATACTCTCTCTGTATTTAATATTTATAGTAAAATTACCAAAATTCACAAAGCATAGGAAAGAACTTTATCTTAACACAGCGTTTTTATTATTAAGATAACACAAATACAATTAAAGTTATCAGATTGAGAACATTAGGTTTTTTTTTGTTTTTTTCATATAATTATTAAAAACTATTGGTTAGTGCTATCAAAAAAATTAAAACCCTACGACACAGATAAAGTTGTTCTTTCCTATGGCTTGTGGAATTTTTGTAATTCTACTATAAATACAGAGGGAGTATAGTTGTTTGCCCAAAACCAGTGGCACCAAACCTTTTTTAAGCCACTGGGGTAAACCATGTTTAAGGGCACCCACCTGCCGACCTTTTATATATAAAAGCAGTCACTCATGACCCACCCACCTCCCATCAACTAAAAATGTTCTTGGATATTTACTCCACTTGTCATATGTGTTCGGCGCCACTGCCCAAAACAGTTTTTGCTATGTTATACATTTCTAAGACAGAGACAACACATACAGGACACAGGTGTAGAGTCCTCTTTAGTAAAAAATAAAAATATTATCACAAAATAACTAAAATACTTAAATTTATAAATCATTTTCCACATGAATAATAATTAAAATCTATTCCATCAACAAATTATTATCAACTTTTAATTATTATATACCTAGAATAAAATTAATTAATAATTACGAATAGATATCATTATAGAATAATATTATAAATTGTTGTTAGTGATATTATTTAACTTATTATATAGGTATTAGGTCTGAAATATAATTATAAATGTAATTTAGTTAGTAAATATTACACAGACTTAATGTATAAATACAACCATTGCATAATTAATTGGATCTTTATGAGTTGAAAAACAATGAAATATGTGCATGCATATGCATCAAAAAATCTTGAATAATAAGCAGAATAATATGCAATTTTTTTTACAAGATATGCATTTGAATGGGACTAAACTTATAATAAAAAAAAATACATAATTAATAATTTATTTAAGTTTAAGAATATTCAAAAATATTTAAAATATTTTATATTATTAATTATTGTAAAAAATAATTAAATTAAAATAATTAAATCAGTATTATGATTTAAAATATAGACAACCATATTTAAATTAGATTTGTTTAATGATTGATTTTTTTTTAAAATTTATTAACATATACAAAGTCCTTAAATATGCATTAAAATTTTTTGAATTTGAACTGTACGAAACATATTTGTGTCAGATTTTAATGAACATCTTCCTAAGAAATATGCAAATGCATGAATTTCTGAACCCTGATACATTTTGTCAACTTTTTATCAGCATAATAAATAAATATTGCAATATTTAATTTTAAAAATATAAATTACAGTTTTACATACGTGTCATCATCAGCTTTTAATACATAATCATAATCATTATAATGTTTGTGTATGTACTTAAATGCTTCTTTAGTTTTACCCCAAAGGGAATCTCTACCCTCTTTAACTGGTAATGCAATAGAAGGTAAACTTTTATCTAAATTACAAAATTAAGTTAGTTATATTAAAATCAGTAGTATGGTGCTAGTACTTACCTTTAACAGTACTCATAAAAAGTAATGTATTGCAACGTTTACCCCATGTAGCTTTTACATGTCTTGCTTTTTTAATGTGATTACTAGGACTAGTCATGATCCAACAAAGAACTCTAATTCGTTTTTTAAGTTCTTGAGCTACGAGATCTTCATCTATAATTTAAAAAAAAAATAATAGAATATACCATATTCAGAAATCTCAATTCGAGCAGGAACGTACCAATATTTTAATGGAAATTAGTCAGGACGGGGTTCATGTATCAATTTTAATTAAATATCACTCTAATATCCAGATTTCGTTTTATTTATAAAGCATAACATAGCAAATTTTTATATAGCAAATTGCTTTCAGAAGAATCCATTTTACTCTATTTTGTCTATATTTGACTATTTCTTCTGCTATTTTTTTCGCCCTTTGCTTCTAACCAGAGCCAGCCTTAGGTTGGGGCCAGTGGGGCCATTTGTAATTTGTTTGACATTTTGGGCCACGCTTTATAAAAAATTATCTCTTTCTGATATCTCTAAAACAATCTCTGAGGTTTTCCTCAAAATCAATAGAATAGTATTTGATTATATACCCTACAAACATTCATTTGGTTGAAGATAAAGTTTCTTTAATCGAAGCCCTGTAAACGTGAAGATTCTATGCATGCATGTACCTGATCTGCCAAAGTAACCAATGGCAACTATTTATAAACAAAAAAAATTTTTAATTTCCACCATCAATCACAAAATTCTTGTTAGAGAACCTCTTTAAAATACAAATTTTGGAAAATCCTTTCTTACTGGATCTTTACATAATATAACAAAACTACTGACCAAACAGCGTATACAAGGGGGGACGAAGGGGTCAGATCCCCATTGGCTTCTTATTACCTTAGTAAAAAGTTTTGAGAGTGTGGGGGATTTTCTAATTTCCCCCCCCCTGTTTAGATGTCGTTTTTTTTTTGATCTCTCCCCTTTCAGAATTCATGTCTACGCCACTGTGACCAAAATTCATACTCATAGCTCTGGCGGTTACAGCTAAGCGATGATGAATCGATCAGTCAGAACACGTTCTTTTATCATTTATATATAAACATAAATAAATAGATTAATTTGTTTAATTTAACGTAAAAGTATCAAATTAATTTTTTTACTGTAAAGTAAATAATTTCAATGCATATTTTTTTGAGAAACGAGTAAATAGACATAATTTTTTTAAAGTAAATTGGACAACACTTCATAAAAGGCTGTTTTAATAAGTTATTCATTTTTAGTTTTCATATTATTATTACAATGGTTTCAAAGTATTTAAAATACTCTGGATTTCCTCACTACTATCACCTAATGGCTATCATAGCTTTTATAAAACCTTTTCCGCTCTTACAAAAAAAATAAATGGTAATTTCTTATAAAACAATTATTTAAAAATTATAATTAGTTGAACTTACGAAAGTGTAATGTCTCATTTTCCCCATGGTCTTTCATAATGAGTGAATCATTGAATGATCCTTCATTATCATGTCCATGTGAATGACGGTCACTGTATCTAACCGAATCATATGAAAATTTTGATGGAAATATTTTGATATCTTTAAAATGGCATTCAGTAATGGTTACTGTAGTATAAGCAAAAAATATTCCAAATATTACACCGATACAAAAGGTTAGAATGGCATTTTTTTTAATGCCTGGTCGGCTAAAATATAAAATGTCTGAAAAAAAATTACTTTTATTAATATTGTTAATGCATTGGTTGAGTGCAAATACATAATATTTCTTAATACTTAAACTATAAGCTAGTACTATTAATTTTTACTCATTTGATTAATTAGGTTTTAAATCTACATACTCGTAATAACACACAATTTAATAAGGTAAAAATATATATAATTAAAATTTTTATTACTATTTAAGTACCTATAAATGAACAATAACTACTAAAAAAACACAACACACTGAAATATTAAATTTAACATAAATTAGTTTAGAAATACAAATATGAATATATACCTAATGTTAATTACTATTGTATTGCTAGATAAAAATGTAATATTAATAGAAGAATGGAGATGAATATTGTTTCAAAATATTTTTTTTTTTAAACTGACCTCTCTTTCCTGATGGATAAACTCTTCTTATTTTATGAATTTTTTCTAGATGATTGGATCTTGCAAACATATTAATATGTATTATATTTAAGAATGTTATATTAAACGAAATCAAAATTGAAGAATTAGGTATCAGTTCACTTTATTGTACTAAGCTAATACCAGACTATAAATTCAACCAAATCATCAAAAAATATGATTGATTGCAGCTTAGTGAGATATAAAATTAAAGAGGGGTTACATTATATTGCCTTCCTAGGCAAAAATACAAACACATTTTTTGAATTTAATTATTAGCATTTTTTTTTTTTTCATAGAATTGTAAACACAACAAAAAGGATAGAATATGCAAAATACCGTTCATTTAAAAAATCATTCCCAACTGAAGAATAAAATATTGCTTTATTATGTGAATTCCTCACATAGTATATAATTATATTTATATTATTTTGAAAAAAACTGTACTTCAACCAAAAAAAAAAACAAAGACAAATATTAATGAAATATGGTGTTTTTGTAGGTAATCATTGGTGTTTTGAGTCTAGAACACTAGTTATATACTAATTCCTTCAATTTCTTTGGTTAGTCATGCATTGTAATCAAGTATAACTCAATATAAGCACTTTTCTATTCCGTATTCAACGAAACAATTAACAAGTAAGATGTAAAGATAAAATTTAATATGGTAATAGCCAATAGGTATATATATTATATAACATATATATTCACATTAATAGGTACATTATACATTTTACATTTAAACCCATTAAGTATAATAACAAATGAGTAATAAATCCAATAATGCTAGGCATGTTATATAATTGAATAATAAATATCATAAAAATATAATATATTAAATATTATAGCATACAAAATATTACGGGTTATTTATTCAATCAATTTGTTTAATAATAGATAAAATAGTAACATAGTCAAATACAAAACCTTTATTTAAATTATAAGGTTTAACTCTACTATACCTAGTGAGATGATCCATTTAAGTGACTTCACTAATTTTTTTCGAAATTAATACATTTTTATTTCATATTCCTAAGCAGAATATTATTCGGAGTGTTTCAATGTATCTATATCAAATAAAATTTAGGAACAGTAGTTTATTAGTTATAGCTTATAATTATTTAAAGTTTATATTAGCAGAGTAGTAGAGAACATTTTGAGGGTATCCCTGGTACCTCTATACCACTACAACTTTAAGTGCACATAACTAACAAACTACTTGTCCAAAATTTTATATTTGTTGATCAAAATATTCCAAATAATATTATGCTTAGGAATATGAAATTAAATAATTTGTCATTCAAAAAAGTAAAAAAAATATTAACGATAAAAAATATAATTTTTTTCTTAAATGCTGAATTGAAATTACATACAATTATGTAAAAATAATATTTTCATAAAAGTTGTAACTCTAAAATAATGAGTGTTTACATTTTAATGGATCACTCTGTAGAGTAAACCATATTATCAGGTAACAGTATTGATTTTTAAACTCAATATCATTTTTTCTAAGAATGTATAATATAGTGTAAACAACAAACTGTTTAGTGTTCACACAAAACACTTATCGGAACACATTATCTTTAAGTTATAACTAACACATTAGGTAATGTTTATAAATCATAAATAGGTGGGTATGTGAATAAACATATATATTTGTACTATTTGTACGCTTGTACTTTTATGGTACTCTGATAGCCATTACCTAATTGTTTTAAATTTAATTTGTACAAACAATTTTTTTAATAAATACATTTAAAATAAATCTTCAATAACTACACTCAAATTTACATTGTTTTTGTATAGGTAACTTAATCAATAATATATATATATATGGATTTCTCATACATTTTGTAATTTGAAGTGATGTGTAATAAATGCATTTATGCAGATTTTATATTACTTTTTATAGATTTTCACTTATAAAGTAAAATGGATAAAAACTTAATATTTTTTTCCCTTGCCTATTATATTGACTATACAAAAATGTTTTACAATATGATAATATTGACTATTACATTTTTATTTTTAATATTATGTACAACATTTAAATATGTACCAATTACTTAAATTACATCTTATAAAATATGACAAAACTACATTTTGAACTATTAATTTATTAAATAATGGTATAAATTTAATAAATGAGTTCAAAGAGAACTGTTGAATTGCTTTTTATTTTGAGGAAAAACATTGAAACCCATTTTTCATATTTTTAGTTCTTATACTGGATAACTTAAACCTGCTTTCTAAAAGTATATTATTTTCAATATAATATTATTATTTTTTTAGCAATAAATAGGTGACTTGCATCTATGAGCTAGTAAAACAAAATTTTATTTTTTGCCAATCTGATAGGTATATAAAATTACAGTATTTTATAGGTAGGTAACTTTTTAGATATATTAATTAAATAAGTTAGGTAAGTACTAAAAATATATAATACATAAAAAAATATTTTCTTACCACTTTTCATTGCTGTTTATTTAAAATAACTTTCTCTATTTGTTGGCTAATTCTGAAAAAAACATTTATTCACAGTATTAGTAATTATTTACTAATAAGGTTATGCATAGTTAATTTTTAAATTAAACTAATTTAGGATCAACTCTTGGTTCTACGCTTTTGTGTAATTTTAATATAAATATACAAGTATAAAGTCTTTAAAATTAAAATTGTATAATGGTTAGATATTAAAGACTTAAGTATAAGATACAACAAGTAACCATACCAATAATAGTATAACTGTATAACTATAATACAAGTACTAATAAACTACTCACATGTACAGTCATGAACCCAATTTTACACTTCTTATTCGTTAAAATTATGACAATAAAATTATTTTTATTATTGTTTAATAAATATTTTATCTTATTGAAATGCAAACTGTATAACTGAATAATTCATCATATTCAACAAGGTATTTAATAAATAGTTACTGGGTACCACAAAAGACCACTTAAAATAAAATAAAACTAGGAGGAGAACCTACCTACATATTCAAATGTTTTGACCTTTATTAACTTACAAGTGTCTGCCTACTAAATGTTATTGAATTAAAATTGGAATATATTGTAACTAAGGTAAATATTTTAATTTATTACAACTGTGATAAATAAAAATGATTAATAAAGGGTACCCGTATCTTATTAAAATTATTAAGTTGACAAAAAAATTATAATGATGAAAGTAGCAATATAATTAATTTTAAGCAAACATGCTATTATAGTTACTATAGATAAAAAACACAAAATGAAGAATTAAATCCTAAAATAAACCTATTGGCCTACTACACAGTAAATAATATTAAAATTGTTTAACTCTTTTAAAGACATTTTTCACTAATTTGGAATTAATATAAACTATACAGTTAAATAGTAGGTAAATAAACAGAATCTTTCAAACTTGATTGTGTAGTTATATTCATCCCTCCCTATTAATATAAATTATAAAACTCCTCATGTACAAAACTTTATTAAAACCCATCTGGACATACGGACTCCGGCTATGAAGAAACGCTAAAAAGTCCAACCTAAATAAGATACAAGCTTTTCAAAATATGAGTTTAAGAAAATTATTAAATATCCCTCTATACATATTATCAAACCATACTCTACACATAGATTGTAACTTAAAAACAATTCATGACGAAGTTAAATGTACCTATAGAAAATGTCAGAGAAAATGTCATTAGTGTCTATTTACTCATTCAAATCCTCTCATCAAGAACTTATCATCTATCACAATCCCAAGTAGCCCCCCAAATAGACATAAATGTAAATGGTCTAGAGATTTATTACATTAAAGAAAAATAAAACTATTAAATAAAAATATAAAAGACCAAATCAAATTTTGAAAGTGTCGCCATTGGGCCAGTGTCTTTTAATTTTCTTAGTTTTAAAATAATAAGTTAACTTTTTCTTTCAATCAACTCAAGAATAATAACTTTGTATAACTGTATTTTATTTTAAAAGTGCTAGGTACGTACCCTTTGTCCTTTTGGTAAAAACGATGGTGTTTAAAAACAATAGGTACCCATTAATTTCTTATGGATATTATAATGAGTATTTTCATACCCAATTCCAAATAAAAAAAAACATTAATAATTGTAATATTTTTATCAAGTTACCTAGATACCTCTATAGATGTCAGATACTTTGATGGCAGTATTTTGTGTGGATAGTTAAACTAGTGCTTATCAATTTTTGTATATTATTAAACAACAGAGCATTGGGCACGTGTGAGAGATTCAAAGGTAATGGCCAGTTTTACAATCGTTAAACTAAGGTTAAACCACCGAATTCGGGCGTTAAAATCAGTGGGTTATGCGTAACGGAGGTTCAAACTATGATTGTAAAACGGGCCCTTAGACAGTTTAACAGTTAGTTAGATCACTCTTTATATTTCTCAGGAGGATATAAACAATTGTGCATTTAACGCACTCCCACCGCAAATCAAATAGAATAGGAACTGACAGACACCAAGCAATCGTCGTGTGTTGTTTCGGTATAATATTAAAAACATACCTTCCTACCAAAATTAGAATACCTATCTCCTATCAGGGAGTTTGACACAAATCACAAAAAGACATGACAGGAAGTGCAAGTGGCCAAGATACGTACCATAGTTGACAGTGTTCTATGGTAGAATCGCAGACAGCGAGCTAATCGTCGCGGTGAGACCGCTCACATCCGTCCGACCATCCTACTTCATCGTCAATTCGGGACAGAGGGTGGTGACAGGCGTAGGGTTGAAGACCGGCGGCTTGGAGGCGTTCGTCGGCGATTTCGGGTCGTCGTAAACGACGTGCATGACGATCTCGACGACGGGCGACGACTGAACACTGAACCATAGATGTATTATGTAACGTAAGGAAACTGAACAGACCAACGGCGGCGATATTAGCAGGCGACGAGAGGAGGAACCGAACCGAATATCGCGCAGTGTGAAACGTGCTTGTTATTATAGTTGAAGTGCACTGCAATAGTTTACGATATCGGCATATCGCGTTCAACTACGACGCGTCTACATAGGCACTCGTTACTCGTCGGCAGCCGTCCGTCCGGTCGCCGAGCTCGCATTAATAAAATAATTAGTTACGATAATTTTTTATTACTCATCGTTAGAACATTATTATTCATTATCTCTCTACGATATACGGCCGAGCTATTATACCGTTTATACCTACGCACGGGAAGCGTATATTTAATATTTTGTCGTTGTGACAGCAACGCCGCTGCTGAAAACGATAACGATAGTCCCGCCGCCGCCCCACGTTATCGGCAATTAGAAACGTTAAAACGATCGGTTCCCTACGGCACGGCGACAAGTTACAACAATATTAATTATTATTAACTACAAGGGTACATAGTACGTAATAGTGTAATACGTAGTACGTAATATACTAAATAATACTAATATTTGAATATTTTGTATAGTTGATTTTATAATATCATAATAATAAATACTAAAATAAAATATAGTTATATTATTGACCGCGAGTTTTCGCCTGTTTCTCAACCAGGGAGCCAAATGCGATGCAATAACATTATTATTAACCAACTGATCATATAAAGAGTTTATAATAATATGTATAATATGAATAATATGTATAAATGTATTATAATATATTATCATTATTATAGTCGTTAAACGTTTACTACGGTCAACGAAATTTTATTATTTTTTTATGGTTTGTACTATTCATAGAAAAATATTGAACACTATAAAAAATATAGCATTGATAAGTTTGATTGTTCTTGTTTTTTTATTTTGTTCGTTGGTTAATGGGTTTATTTCATGTTGTAATTTTCGTATAGACGAAGGAGATAACAGTTTTTTATTATCCACTACAGTTTCGCCTGCTCCGGCCAAGATGGACCGCCCAGCGACCATGCCACATCAGTTGTTACGCTGCAATCTATAATATTATGTTATTTCAATATATTGTTCTGTGCTACGAATATAGTATTACCACGTCTTACCATTGATTATTATTTATTAGGTATTACTAGGTATTACTAGGTACTTATGTTGTATAATCAATGATATTACGTTACCGCGAACCAGGGTTGTTATTTTTAAATGTTTGTTTAAAACATTAGAAAAAACTATATTGATTGTTTTAAACGTTCAAAACTCATGTCTTAAACATCAAATAAAAAACGTGTGTTTAAAACAATATTTTTAGTACATTTTAAATTAAAATAATCTATGGATTTTTCCTACTTTGTTTAGATTCTGAGCGGAGCGATGAATGTGTTGATTTCCCAATGATGTGTTTTGTTTTTATTTTTTGTGTCTGTGTAAACGATGAGTAGTCGAAATAATGCTTCGATTTTCAACTTCATTTCTTGTTTGATGGGAAAGTGAATCTAGTTGGTGAATTAGGGAAGCCAAAATTTAAAAATCCTAATAGTTTTCAAAAGTGCCAGGAAAAAATTAAAAAAATTAAGGAAAACAGCTAGAGATCTTTTACACAAAATCGATTTTCGTTTTTGGTAACTCAAAAACAAATGACCTTTTCTCTACATATATGTAAAGATATATGAAATTTTCACTGAATGTTTATTTTAGCATTTTCTATTCACCATAACATTTTCCAAATACATTGACTAGTGTTGAGCTGTTTATAGGTATTTTAAATTTCCAATTTTATTAGTTATTTTTTCTATAAATGTCAATTAAATTATATTCGTTGAGTAAAAATGCTTGAAATTTAATACTTCGAGGCTCCTGATATATTGTTACCTACTATGGCAATTGAAAAATATTGAAAATACATAAGTACAATTTTTTTTTATAAGCATTTAAAGTTCGAATTTTTATAAAATTTATAAAATTTAAAAACAATTTCGTAGTTATTTCTATAAAATGTTCAACTTTTATATATAAGGTTTGAACATTTAAAACAAGGTTCCAAGTAAATAGGTAAATAAATTACTTTACAATAATATTATCAAATATACTTACTACTTAGTAAAATAGTAATATTTTTATACCAAAGGCTGACTGATAGTTTTCGCTCAGAATCGTTTTCCGTATAAAATATTATATCATTGAATTCAAATTTAACACCATCCATTACAGTGACCCACTTGTAACCTACTGTACAGCAGAGCGACACCCACTTGCCCACCTTCTTTTTTGTTGAAAATCGACAATTTCAACGATTTCAAAAATAAAAACGATGGAATCCAAAAAATTGGGCCAATTGTTGTAGACAAAACTCCATAACTAAAAATAAGCACGATCCTCTCCACCCATAATTTGATTGCACAAAAATAATAATAATAACACGATGACATGATGACTATGGTAAGTGATGAGGGATGCTATAAACCATCACCTATTGTATAAAATAGTTTACGATTATAATTTATAGGGCTTTATTAGAAGAATTTTTTTACATGTTTTATCGTATTTTTTTTTGTTTTGAACATGTAAAAAAAACATCTTTTAACTATCTTTTTT